TTGCCCTTCCACTAGACTTTCCATTGATTTGCTTGGACACAGCACTCTATGAACAGCCAGCCTCCTTAGCTATGAACTTTTGTGGCTTACCCATCTTATGGAGGGTATCAATGATGGTCTTCTGGCCAGTTGTTATGTCTGCAGTCTTCTCCATATTGAATCGAACTGAGACATTTGAACCAAACTGAAGCAATTTAATGACACATGGGGAAGCGTGCAGGTTATTTGAGTTTAGTAAATGACTAGTGTGTCACACTCAGTTTAAAACATTCATGACCTGCAACATTTGGGCTGATTTCTCCAGAGTATTCTGTTTTTTTGAAATCCTGTTTTCGTGTATTTCATGAGCTGGAAACCCAAATTATGTAAAAATAAACAAATAAATACTTGAAATTGTTAAAATTGTGGGCCCTGAATCTATCATCTATTAAATATTAACTTTTAGAATGGAATTATGGGAGTTAAACAAATTTTCCATGATATTCAATTTTTTTGGAAAGGGTCTGTATATACATATATGCATAAACTGCAAACATATACTTCTCAAATCCCTCAGTGGTGGGGGACATCAGCGCACCGCTTGTTATTGTGAATATTCATCAGTATAACATTTATTAAAGATAATTAAAAAAATCCAGTTTCACTACATTATAATTTTCAACTGCTAAATCTTTCACATTCTTGTTTTATTTGCTGCATCACTAACATGATGGTGTTTCTGTCTGTCTCTGTCCTTGTTCTCATCAAAGAACTCAACAACCAAACGGGCCTTACATCTACACACTTGTCTGCCACTCGCCACTCCGACTGTCCCAGATGTGAAGCGAAGGCTGATGTTGTTTCTACATGCCGGGTGTCATATACCTGCACTCGCCTTTACCACAAATAGAAGACTTGGGTCTCTGGAGTTTGAGAAGCTTACTCATCAAACATTTCAGTTGTTGCTTGTCTGGCTGGAACAATGAATGTCTAGAATTGCTGAGAAACATGAGTCTGTGAGGTGTTTGTGTGATGGTGTTACTTGTGATCAAATGTGGGGCATTCGTCCTGACGTTATGTTTTGTCAAAAGACTTGAATTTCTTGGTATGTCTAGGTGGGACACTGCGTTAGAAAAGAACACCATCTTAAATCCACTCATTTATTTTTTGTACCCAGTCAGAATTGCTGGGGGGCGGAGCTTATTTCCAACAGTCCACGGATGACATGTGAGGTACAGGCAGCCAGTCCAATTATCTTTAACTGTTTCCTGTTGTGAAGCAAGAGGGAGAATTAGAAATACCTTCTGTCCATCCATCCATGCACGTTGTGTGCATGAAAACTTGAAAAATAAGTGAGGTACTGACTTCCATTTAGGCTAAGATTGGGTTGCCGAGTCGAAATCCAAGATGGCCACCACCATATCTATGTAAACTGGCAACGTCAATTATCTGAGGAAACTATGCTTTCTGGATTTTTTATTTTTTAAATGTTTTGTTTTGTTAAACAATTGGGGTGGCTGAGGATTAATCTATGGGGGCCCAGGCCACCATTGGCCACCCTCTGGCTCTGTTCTTCACAGTGTAACTCCTACACACTTGACAATTTTTCACCAAAAACATTGTTTACTTGCATCTTAAAAACTACAAACACTCATTACTCAAATCCCTCAGCCACGGTGCACAGCTTGTTTATGGAGGAACTACAAAACTCTTGATCTGACCCGAACAAATCATGAATTAGTGGGCTTGTGCTTGTCAGTCATTTTGTGCAAGGAAAACATCATATCCTTGTTTTTACTAAATAGTTAAACAGTTCTAAGTAGTATTTTTTAACAAGTAGTTCTATTTATTTTTAAATTATGTTCAAATAAGACAGTCGAACCACAGCTTTAAATAAATAAAAAAATACAGTTTTCCACCACCACGTAAGTTTTATGATTGACTGAAAGGAGGCAAAGATTTCCATCTTGAACCAACATTTAGCTAAAGCCTCCTTTACACTGGAGTACACCTCTCCTTCGCTCTCCCCAGTATGGACAACCCAGTAGAACTTGGCTAGATTGCAGCACATTTGGAAAACGTTCATCAGTGTAAGGCAGGCAGGATACTGGCATATCTTTAGGTTTTTCCTCCAACACTCTGGTCCCTGATGCTCTCCTGATCTCTACATGTTAAAAACATCACATTACCTTGTGGTATGGCACAAATTAAAACAACCTGTTATCTGTTACCATGCAAAAAAATCTCAATCTGCCAGTACACACATTGAGTGGCCCATGTCCCCTGTCGCTGAAAGTTTGAAGTTTTCAAGATGAGTGTTTTCTGAACTGGAATTAAACAGGGATTGCAAGTAAACCTTCATGTTTTTGGTGCAAGATATTCAACTGGTAGGAGTTACACCAACTGGTACACCGTGGAGAAGAACAGAGGGAGGTTTCTTTTTTTTATTTGTCTGAAGCAGAACAGAGTGACGGAGCCTGGTGAGTGGAGGGAAACATTTTAACCATGACCATGCACAATGTAGGAGCCAGGGGTGGCCAAAACAGGGTGGCCACAGATTAGTCTTTGGCCCCTCCAAAGGCCACCCCAGATCATATGAGGAAACCATTTAAGCAATCTAAAAACTAGAAAGCACAGTTTCCTTAAATGATTTGTAGCTGGTTTATATACAGTGGTGTCCATGTTGAATATTGATGTGGAAACCCAATTTTCAAAAAGAACATTTCTTACATCTAGATGCAGCCACACACCAAAATGGAGTCAGTACCACAGTTATTATTTGAAGTTTCCTGATGCATGCTCAATAATCCAGGTAGAAAAATCTAAAAAAGTTAAATCTGGTCCTCTGGACATTCAAAAAAAACCAAAACAAAGCAAAACAACAAAAAATGTAGAAACGTTTCGTCTCTCATCCAAGAGACTTCCTCAGTCTGAGGTGCTGTATTCATCTCAGTCTCTTAAATAGCACCTTCTCAGAGTGGATCAACCAGTTTGCTGCTGACAACCAAAATCAGCTGATCACATGCTCAAGAAGGACCATCAGCCTAACAATGGATCATTAGCACACTGATGGCTGTTTACTGTTCACAGAGGGCTGAGTGATACTAGCAATCACAGCATTGTAAGAGGGGGACAATTGAACCCGGAGGCCTCCACCCCTGTTTAATGATGGACGATTTCTTTTCACAAAGATGGCCTCCTTTACTCCTCTCTCAAACCATCGTTCCTCTCTATCCAGGATGTGAACATCTTCATCCCTGAAAGAGTGACCGCTGGCCTGGAGATGAGTGTA